TGGCAGCCCCCTTTGTGGTCGCACTTGCTCTAGCCTGACACCATCTCAATATTTTGCCTGTTCGATGCCAAGATAAATTGGATTCACATTCATTCTCTGAAGTTTCTTAGGCCTCAAGTATATCTTTGAGGGTTATATTTATTTACTTCAATCTGATGTCCCTGCAAATCGTAATATAGTAATTGATTTTCACGTTGCAGTTCAATGCATGCAAACTCGATGCATCCTTTTAGTTTCTATCGGTGCTGCGGCTTTAATTGAATGTTATATAATTTTGCTATGTATTTTGATCAGGTTAAAGAAGAAGTTGAGGTGGCCCTAAGAAAGCATTTGAACAGTATGAAACAGTAAGATAATACTATAAACTCTAAAGCTTTGAGATGTAGCAATTTAGGGCCAAAATCCGTAGTTTCACCTTGCCATACAATAGTTTTATTTATGTTTTACGTTTCTATTCAGGAATTGTGGGAAAGAGACGCATCATTTTGAATCAAGAATCTTAAAGCTACAGTTCTTAAATAATATCTCTCTTCCGGTATTTACTGGAGCTCGGATTGAAGGAGAAGAATGCTCTAGTGTACAAGTAGCTTTGGTTGATTGCTTTAGTGGACATATTGTCAAATCCGGGCCTGAATCCGCAGCCAAGGTGGAGATCGTTGTTCTCGAGGGTGATTTTGATGGTGAGGAGGGTGACAATTGGACTCTTGAAGATTTCAAGAATAACATTGTAAGGGAGAGGGAAGGAAAGAAACCTCTTCTTACAGGAGAATCAATTTTGAATCTTAAAGATGGAGTTGCTCTTGTGGGTGAGATTTCTTTTACTGATAATTCAAGCTGGACAAGGAGCCGTCGGTTCAGGCTAGGTGCAAGAGTTTTAGATAACTTCGATGGAATTAGAATAAGAGAAGCAAGGACGGAATCCTTTATTGTCAGGGATCACCGTGGAGAATGTGAGTTCTTCTCATTTGGTTTACTTATAAATAAAATTGTGTCTCTAAGGTTCTTGCTAGAATAATGACACTAAGATCGAGTGTTCCTTCACTGTGTTCATCGGACTGGCCAAGTAGTTAAACAAAAAAGTAAAAGTTATCCGTATATCATCATAATATCTCCTTATATTGGATGTAGTTACCTTCTTATATTTTCATCTTGCCTTATCATGCATGCCTCGTTGCCTCCAGATTAGGATCAGCTAATTAAAAATGCAATATTATAACCTGAGTTACTTCTGGTTCTGCAGTGTACAAGAAACACCACCCTCCATGTCTGCTTGATGAAGTATGGAGACTAGAAAAGATTGGTAAGGACGGAGCTTTCCACAAACGGTTGAGTCGGGAAAACATCAACATCGTGAAGGATTTTCTCACCCTACTCTTCTTAAACCCTTCAAGGCTCCGGAATGTAATTACTGCCTTTTCTTATCTTGGTTAAATTTACTTTTCCAATGCTTAATAGTTTACGCTGCGAAGTTTGAAGCTTGGTTGTCATCTTGTGCATTTAAATGTTTCATCAAAAGGAAATTCTACTTGTTTCAGCAGCCTTTTTCAACCCTTCACAAGTATTCTAATGATTGTAAGGGCTTTTTTGGGTGAAAATTTGCAGATCCTTGGGACGGGTATGTCGGCTAAGATGTGGGAAGTCACTGTGGAGCATGCTCAGACATGTATACTCGATAAGAGGATGTACTTGTACTGCCCTCCCAGTTCACAGCAAACTGGTGTGGCCTTCAACATTGTGGGGCAAGTGATGGGACTTCTGTTGGAGCGTGAATATGTTCCTATTAGTAAGCTGTCCGAAGCACAAAAGGCACGCTACCTATCACCTCAGTCCACTCGCTTTTATCTTTTTTTCCTTTTTATTTTCTCAAGTCATGTCTGATTTCGTATGATCAAATATTGTTTTTAGGCTGATGGCCAGCACTTGGTCATTTCTGCATTTCAACACTGGGAAGAAGTAGTCCCGTTTGAAGATGAAGCCTCTCTTATAGCTGCTGCTTCCAACTTCACCAATGTTCTTCACACATCGAGCTCTCCAAGGTCAGGGGATCTTGACGGAAGCAAGTTTTTGGCTTCTCAAAAAATTGATGGATTTGATTATGCACAGCCATCTGCCTCTTCTCCAGATATCATCTCTTCCATGTACTCGGTGGGTAGCAGCAGTGGCTTGGATGATTATTCCTTGCACAACATCGACGGACTCGGTCTTAGATATGACCAGACTCTGAGTTTCCCAGGTCAAGTAGCGAACTCCCTGATCTGCGACTCTGACCCCATGGTCCAAGCTTTATTTGATGAGGATCATCTGCAATTTTTCGATGCTGATCTGCAGTCACAGAACATTAGATCAGAATCACAAGACCTACAAAGCGCTGTAGATGGCTTCTTGTTGAGGCGTTCTACAGCCGTTGCGATATCTGATAGGGCTCAGATGAGATGGACAAAGCTATTCAGTGTGCTGAAGTGGTTCTCAATTAGGAAGAGCGTTGCTCTGAAACGAAAATTTCGTGATATTCGAAGATACTAGTAATCTAATGTGAAATATTGTTTGGTTACAGTTGCATATACCGTTTAACGCTGCCCGTATAGTACTTACGTGTGCAGGTAGAGAGAGATCTCTTCGGAGGTTTTTTTAGATGTTAAATGTATCTGGTAGTTCATGTTCTTACCAGTTTCTTAGTTCTCTTGGCCAGTGGCCAGAGAAATAAACTCTCATATCAAGTTGTTAGCTTGTAAATATGTACGTGCTTCTACATAACTTGAATGAAGTCATTTGTTCAATAAAAGTATCCTTTTTATAGCTTTCTCTCTTCATTTAAGCGAGTTTTCGTGTATTTACCTTGTTCCTAATTCGAACTTGGAGTTGTTGGGACCTGCAGAAACCAATGCCCTGTTTGGGAATGTTTGGAAAGGCTAAAAGCGCTTCCAGATAACCAAAACGTTTTTTTAACAGTGTGTGACAGAAAAAGTACTTTTGGATTTTCAAATCATATTTGTTGCTTCTAGTGAAAGCGTTGAAGTGCTTCTCACATAAGCAGAAGCAATCCCAAATGGGTGCTATATAATCCATCAGTCCATTCATCTTTACTTGCATGAAACGAGGGAAGTCATGAATCGGGTAACAGAAAGAAAAGAAAGAAGAATGGGATCAACTACAGCTTCCCCTAGTTGATTTGATTCCTAATTGTCTTCACGAATTTGATTAGGATTTTTATTGTGGAACTTACACTCTTCTTTATTCCTAGTTGTTTTCGCATATCCAGCTCAAGGGCACATAAACCCACTCCTCCATTTGCCAAACGTTTAGCCTCTAAAGACCTAAAAACCACTCTAGCCACCACCCCTAACACCATCAAATCCATCTACGCACTGGCTGTGCGAATCGAACCCATCTCCGATGGCTACGATGAAAGCGGATTCAACCAAGCACCAACCCAAGCAGCCTACTTACATTCATTCAAAATAGTTGGTTCGAAAACCCTAGCAGAGCTCATACTGAAGCTCAATGCCTCAGCAGGCTCACCACCTGTCAGTTGTATTGTGTATGATTCACCGCTTCCACGGGCACTTGACGTGGCCAAAGAGTTCAAAATCTACGGCGCTGTGTTTTTAACCAACTCAGCTTCTGTCTGCTCCATGTACTGGCGTATCGTAAATCGCGGTCTGTCGTTGCTTGTGATGAAAGAAACTTATGGGTTTATATTTTCAGGTAGGTAATAAATGAGTGACGTGGGGTTTTGATATTATCTGCAAAAAATGAACTAAAAATTTAGAAATGTAAAATAAAGAAGAATCATGGAAACTGAATATTTATGAGGCTCAAAAATTGTAACGATTACAAAGTGTTTATAGAGATGAGGCACAGTGATTTTCACACTTTCGTTTTCTTCTTCTACTCTCCTTCTCTTTTTTATTTATTCAATTCAAAAGTTAGGATGAGAACAACGAAAAAAAAAAAGAGAAGTTTGAAAATCACTACCCAACAAAATTTATAATTGATTCTATTTAACAACAGTGTCTTTCCATGATAGCAATGCTGAAGTTGACTTGACATTATTGTTTATTTAAAAAAATAAAATAATTGATTCAGTTTATTCATATTTATCTCTGTACCATAAAAATGGAGTATCATTGCCTTGATGAAGATATATTCATTGCAATTGCTTTACTAATTGGAAAAGTAGAATAAGGATCCGGAGCGGATCCTCATTCGGAAAAGTAAAACACTGATGCTATTGAACCTTGGCTCTTTTGTCAATCTCACCAAACTTACTTAAAGTGTGTGTGTGTGTGTGTATTGAAAAGCTGGTGAATGAAATGCTGGGGTTTTGGCCCCTGGCGATGGTGGGTCCCATGGTGCCATCAGCCTACCTGGACCAATAAATTGAAGGAGACGGAACCTGTGGTGCAAGTATCCGGAGGCCAAAAGCATACAAGTGCACTGGAGAAAGCACTTTAAAGTGTGGTTTATGTCTCATTTGGAAGCATGGCAGAGACTGCTGCTAAACAGGTAGAAGAAATTAATTGCATGAGGAATGAAAGCAAGTGATCTGAATTTCCTGTCGGTTTGCCAGATGACTTTTTGGAGTCAGTAGGTGAAGCTGGATTGGTTGTGCCATGGTGCAACCAACTGGAGGTTCTAGCAAACCGATCCGTGGGTTGTTTTTTGACTGACTGCGGATGGAATTCAACGTTGGAGGGGTTGAGCCTAGGCGGCCGATGGTGGTGATGCCGCAGTGGAGCGACTGGCCGACTAATGTGAAATTTGTAGAGTTGTAGGGGGTTGGAGGAGAGTTGAGAAAAATGAGGAGGGGATTGTGAGTAGGGAAGAGAGAGAGACGTGTGTGAGGGAAGTCATGCGAGGAAAGAGAAGTGGAGAGATCAACTGGAATGCCTTGAAATTCATGGAGAGAGGCTGTGAAGAGATCTGTTAGCGTAGGGGGAAAATCAGATGACAACATAAATGAATTTGTAGCAAAGCTTTCAACGCCGACGGAAGGCTAATTAACCAAACAAACTGAAGCATTGCAGAAATTCAGCGTATCGACATTTTACATTCATCAGATTGTTTACATATAACTCTGCAAAAGTATGTATATGTGAAAAATTATGCACCTGCATGCCTTTCTATAATATTTGTATAAAAGCCAAAGTTATGGAAGACGATGGAAGCAAGCTAACACGAAACCTTCAAAATCCCGACTGGTGCCAGTTACTCTGGAAGTTTACAATTTTTTGCATCTTTACATACTTCTCCCTGTATAGGAAAACAGATAACGAGGCGTGTGTTAGCACCAAATGGTTCAAATATTTCAAATCCTTAAGCGTTTCGGTGAAAGTCGATAGCTGCTGTTAGCAGACTGTGTCATGTCTAACATAAGCTTATGGTTCCATTCCCATTCGGATTCAATTAAAGGTGTTGAACGGTAATAGAACTGAAATCCAGGCAAATGAACGGTGCTTACCTTGTTCTTCTTTCGCAACTCCAAAACCTCTTCTAGGGGTGGCCGGCCTAATGCAAAAACAGGATATCAACATCATCTAACAGAAGTTTATATTAATCATAAGATATCTGGGCAGCAGAGTTAACAAATTAGCATACCTGTGACTTGAAGACGATATTTAGCCCAAACGCCGTATACAGCACCAGCTATTGTTGCAATCTGTGAATAAATTGTTTTCCCATTAGACCACCAGATAACGATAACATACTATTGTAGATCATTTAGTTCTACATGGCGGAAAAGTAGATGAATCAAAAAAGGAGACTCACAGGTTCGTATTTGGTTATGGAATATACCCATCCGAGCCCCACTTGCTCGTAGAGCTTTCTGAATGCCTGCAGCAGTTTTCATCAGCTTTATCCATCTCCTGGACAACTCAAGGGAAAACTGTATTCAAAATAGGGAGCTAAAACGTGGCACGAAAAGGGGCTTACTTCGACATCAGTGACCACAGTTCCATCAGAGAGGATGGCGTGAATGTTTCCCATAACCTAAACAAAACAACACAAGAAAGTGTCACTAAGTTCTGATGTATTTGTCCAATACATATCATATCATCTTTCTATGTTTCAAGCCAGGAAGTTTAAATTGGATATTAAAAAGAGGAAATACTGCCGATGATATAATTTGGTTTCGTAAATCTTAGCATCAAATTTCAATAATGCAAACTTACAGTCTTGTAGTCCAGCCCTCGATTCTCCTCTGGCAAGTAGTCATCTGAACTTATGTCAACAAACTTGATGGTACCATATCGCTTATTTCTCTCTCTCAGCATGTCCACCTGCCAATATAACGCAAACTTCAGCACACTCGAAACCATCAAGAACAAAAGGACTTTGTAGCTTCATCAGTACGAAACTCATCAAACAAACGCTAATTACATTATAAACAGAAAAGTAACAGCAGGGATATATAGACGGGTGTTTGAAGGTAAGGATCGACCTCTCGCATGCATAAGGGGCAATCCCCGTCATAGAGCATTTTAATCTTCCAATTCTGAGGTGTTTGTTCTTGATCATTTTCTTTCTTTGGAGTTAGGGGATCTGCAGCTGCCCCACTTATAGCCCTTACTGAAGACTTAAACCCTACAAATACATTCATACATACACACACATATGCATCATAAACTGAACTATTTGCAAACCATAAAAATTTCTTCTTGATTCCTTGGTCTCATATAAAACCAAACCTACAAAAATAGACTAAACCTAATAATCCCGGACATTGTTCGGCTACATCCTACCAATCACAAGTTGACACATATGCACAATTAACCCAATAAATTACACATAACGAAAAATTTCTACGCACATATCAAACTATGATCGTCAGGAAAACAAGAATGAAATGAGAATGGCATTGCGAAACAAAAATTTCTACTAAACAGACAATAAAGGAGCTCTAAACCGTGTGCGGCTTATTGTCTGTTTAGTGTCTGTGAGATCGGTAAATAGGATAAATCGGTCACAACTCACCAGGTTGGTTAATAGGAGGAGCTGATATGAATCTTTGGGGTTGAATTTGATGGAGCTTGAGTTGTTGGAGAGAGAGAGGAACTGAAGAGAGAGAAGGGCTTCTTTGCCTTCCCCCAATTTTACATGCTGAAGCAGCTGCCCTCATTGCCATTTCTTCTTCTTCTTCTTTCTGCACTCAAATTCAAAGCTTTTGGGATCGAAGTTTAGGAACCAAAGGGTCTAAAGTTAGTTTGCTTGGACTGCCCTGGTTCATAACTACCATGTATACGTGGCAGTCTGTCCTCCACCAATAAACATGACACGTGGCACGAAGGGAAAGTAGCCCCAAACCCGCTGTTCCAAACAGTGAGTTCTGTTGCTCTCAAACAAAAAAAACAAAAAAAAAAAAAACAAAAAAAAACAGCGAGATAGATATGGGGTACTAAAATAAATATGGCAAAGTATGGGGCTATAATAGAAAAATAAAAAGCACAAAAATCGCCCTGATAGCAAAAGCTCGAGTCTTTGCGGAAGTATTTGGTAGCTACTGCTTCAAGCTCCGGTTATTGACTATGGCGTTCCTGCTCCGCAATTCCGTCGCTTCCCATTTCCAATCCCACTCACAGGTGCTCTTTCTCTGTCTCATACGTTCGATCTGTAACGCCGTAGTTTTGATTTGGTTCAGTATTTCCTTTCTCCCTAACTATTTCGGTTTAACAATCAGAGGGGGCAGAACGATTCGCTTTCCCAATCGCGCCGCCAGTTCCACGTCGAGCCAGGGCCTCGCGAGAAAGCTGTGAGTCTCTATCTTTCTCTCTCTTAATTTATTCAGCTATGCAGGATTGTTCGGATTTTGATTCGTTTGGGGCAGCTTTTTATTTCATCTTGTATCTGAGATTCGGCCATGAAACTTCGAGTTTAGCATTTTCGATAGTTGGGTAGCAAACACATTTGAGCATACAGCTTAAAGATTTTAGCTTTAGATTTATTTGTGCAAATTTTGTTTATTTATTTGATTTTGATGTTTGTTAGCAGCAGGGTGAATGTGTTTATTTGATTTCGCTGGTTCAATTGTGCATTTGGGCTGGACTGAGTTGTTTAAATTTGCAGCTCTTGGCACCGGACCCATCTTTAAAACGGTTCAAGTCGCATAAGAAGGGCGTGGCTCTAGTTAAAAGACTTGGAGATGTTCTTACCATTGTTATCGTTGCTGGTACGCAATTATTTTGCTTGAGATTTAATCGGATGGTGCATTAGTTGCTATGCATAAGCTTAATTTACCTTGATACTTTTGATAAGACGTAGCCATTACGCACTCCTCTGGCTTTCCTAAATTAGGTTCTAGTTACCGTACATTTTTGAGATTTCTTAGATAATTTTTTATGGTTTCGGGGATGTGGTAGGCAGGAAGCCGCGGTTTCATCAGGAAGAAACCGTTTGATTATAAAGTTGAGTGTCTGATTATTTACCTTTTCCATGTTTATACTATATGATCAATTGATTTGATTGCATTTATTATCTGATTAGTAAAGTCCTCAGTAAGGCTATGACAATTGACAAAATAAGGGGTTGGGGTTACAGTTGTTTTAGCCTCTTATAGCTTAAGCTTGGAATATGCCCCTTAAGGATGAGTCGCAAGCTAGAGGGGTTCATTTTCCTGCTTCCCTCTCCGTCTTTTTTAGGGTTGCAAAGTGTGTTTGTATTCACAGATGCACATTCACAGACTTATAACGATATCCACCTTCAAAGTACGGGTAGAATCTGCTGTTTGTCATATTTGTTGATAAAAATATGATTATTTTTTCCATCTATGAAAGTAGCATGATAAACATGGGAAAATAGCAATCAGGATCATTAAGACCTGATTAGAGAACAATATTAGGTGTTCTGAATTGTTGAAATCTGTTTTGTATTTTAACAAATTAACTTGTGTTCTATAATCCAACCATTCCATATGTGTTTAGGGTAGTGCTATTCACACCCCCATTTTTACTTCCTACACATTCCTTGTTAATATTTGTCCTTTGATTTTCTTCAATTCATTCCATTTGATGGCCGGAAATTGAGAAGGATGTATGGGAGGTAAAAAGGGGTGTGTTGATAGCACCACCCTGTGTTTATAAGATAGGTTGAAAACACTTGATTGAGTGCATTTCTTGATAGAAGGCAATAATGAACTTCCTTTTAATATTGTGCCTTGTATTGGTCAATGTCATTGTGTATGTGTATTTATGTGGTTATGCAAATTGGATATATCAAGGAATTAGTCTTGTTTAACTTGTTACAGTGGTCCAAGTACTCATGTGTTTATGATGTTTATCAGGCGCCTGCTATGAAATATATGTAAGAGCAGTAATGCGAGAAGAGGCTAGGCAACAGGCTAAGGAACAGGCAGGGGCTTCGGGTGCAAGCGCATAATCAAGTGTGTGTGCGGGGGCGGATTTCTTCTGGCAACCATGTGGAATGCGTCTATATGCTGAATAAGTAGAAAACAGATTATCCTGAGCTGCTTTCGAAGTATCTGTTTCTGATCTCTATTAGGTTTTGTTTGTTAATAAGATTGTCAATTCTATAAAAATCGTAGAACAAGATGAAGGCAGTTGAACACTTTTTGTGTTTTTGTAATGAATGCTTTGCTTAATTTTAAACCATAATATCCTTCCTAAGCTGGAAATGCAGAAGAAAACGTTACAAAACCTTCACCGTTTTCGTGTTTGCAACGGGTACTTTGCCGATACCCGTTGAAGAGGTCGAAATTGGCGATGAGTTGGTGAAGATGATAAGTGAGTTTGTACGTTCAATTTACTCTATCTTGGTATCTGAATTTGTAACCATTGAGCGAGCGTTGCAGGGTGACCAGTGATTGGATTAAATGATTGTGAAAACAGGAAAAGATGAATGTAGAAGGATTGGGGTGGTATGCAGTGGAACCTATGAAATTAAAAGGAATATGATTCTTTCTTCAATTTTTTTTTCTCCCCTCTCATTCTATTTGAACAGTTACGATTAACTCACGTTAATTTTTTATATTAATTTTTTTATAAAGATTAGATGCAAATCTTTGTCTTGTGTTAACTTCTTTTGAATTAATTTCACATTATGTTGTAAAACATTTTTGTAAACATTTCAACAAAAACAAATCAAATTTTGATACCAAATTTTTTCTTCACAAAAAACGTAACTATAACAGCTACATTAATGAATTATGTCATGTCTATGTTATGGCTTTATTATTCAATTATGTCATGCCTATGTCATGATGAGTTATTTCTAATCAAGATAAGATTTCAACTCCTTGCAATCATTGGATTAGATTTTCTTATTGCAATCTCTTCCGTCGATTGTTATCTGTATTTTTATCGTCTCACTGTAAAAATGAGGTGTCTATCTCTTCCACATCCATCCTATTTTCTCATCTCTCTTTGACATTTATCTTATTTTCTCATCTCTTATTTCTCTCTCTTTAGCCTGCGTCAGTTCCGACTTCTGTTGCCCCTTTCAACGAGGATTGCAACAACGAATCAATGAATGGATTTTGTTCTTCTGAGGTAATTATGGAGGGATTTTGGTAAAAATAACTAAAAGTTGATTTCTTTTTGAGGTAGATTAACTAAAAGATTTAGTTTCCCTAATTTTGAAGATCATTAGGGTTATGTAATTTTGTTTTTGTGTGTGTTCAACTTAACCTCTTTTTCGGACTAATTTGCAGATTATCAGTTTAATTTCTCATGTTTTGTTCTCTTTTATGTTGTTATTGGGTTACAGGTTGAAGAATGGGCGATGAAAGGTACGATTTTGTCTCCATATTTTGGTTTGATTTAAATTATAGAAGTTTAGGTTGAAAGCTAAATGCTTGTTTCGTTGGTTTGCAAGAATGTCTCTTACAAGTGCTTTAGGAATTTCTCATCCTTGATGAAGTTGAGGCTTGTTAGTCTTTGGTAGGGTCCAGGTAACTCACTCTTTCACCGACTTGGGATTAGGGCCTATTAATTTAAAAGTATCGTAATCTTGCCATACATAATACTTGTGCTTAATTGGATTCTTATATTTAATTTGTGTCTTTGCCTTCAACGGTATAGTCAAAATGAGTTAGAGATTCTCAATACTCTATTTTGAGATTATAACGTTCAAACAATACCTTCGACATCAGTCAGAAGCATTGTGGAGATGCAAAATTATAAAGTTTACCGAATCCAGGCATAACTTACGAAACTGGTTAGATGCTAAAGGAGGCTTGAATTTTTCAATGACCTAGTCTCTATGTCGTATCCCCCTATATGAGCCGTACTCGTTATTGGCAGGGTTACCACAAAGTAGTCCTTCATTTAACAATAGTTGGAGGGTATGATGTTGGCGAAAGGGATGGTAGAGTTGTTTAATATTTCGTAGGATTGGCATAACATATCTAGCAGCTCTCGGTGTGATTAAATCTTAGTGGAATTTCTGGAATGATAGGACTCGTGGTCATTTTAGCTCCAGAAGATGAAGAACCTTGAAAAAAAAGTTTGGGATGACTCAAGCAGAAATGTATCTACGTGATAGAGTATAAGAATCCCCTGTTTTGATAGATAAGCAGCTATATATTTTTCTTAAGAAAGCCGGACGCTGCGAGGTAATTAAACTCAATATTAGGAGAAATTTCTATCTGATTCAACCTAAGACTTCTCATTCACAAGTGAAGAAGAATACTACTAGACTGTAGTACCGAGTCACTCACATATTCTTAATATTACATGGATTTTATTTTGAAGCTATGGTGGGGACGGAAGGGCCTTAAGCTAACCGATGAGCTCGACGGCTATGCGGGGCACCCACCGCACCTGGCCTTCAGCAAAGATTTAGCTCGATTAATAGGCTCTAATTTAACTTTGGGTAGATTTATGGGCCTTCACTTTTTGCTATTAGCAAAATTTGAGACCCAGTAATTGAGAAGTGAGAACCTTTGGGGCCTATAACTAAATTCTCAGTTAGATCCAATGTATATTTGACGAGAAACAAATGTTAATTTCAAAGTAAAATGCTTATCGACCAAAGAAAAAGACAAGTAAAAAGCTTGGGGCTTGTTTGGTATCCTTCTTAGATCCAATTTTTAGTTTTGCCAATTTAGACTAGTTCTCATGGTTAACAAAGTTAAATATTTCAAAAACTCGTTAATTATTTATATCAGTTTCTAGGGAGATCGACCTTGCTATAATCATTCTATACTACTGTAACTTGTTCTCTTGCAAGAATTTTCTATGTTTTAACCCTGGACGTTTTTAACTCTTACTAATAAGTAAAGAGAAATACCACAAAATCGTAGTACTTAGTGACAATAAATTAATCAAATTACTTAAATTTTAAATAATGTTACAAAATTTAAATGCGTGTGAAATAAAAAGAGTTGTGTACCTAATTTTATATTTCTTACACCTCGCACCTGCAAAACAACCCGTCTTCCCCTTGTACCGTAGCGGCTTTCTGAAGGAAAAAAATAACAAAAAAAAATAAAAAGCAGCAAATTAACCCTTACTTCTAAGTAAAGAGAAATACCATAAAACCGTAGTACTTAGTGACAATAAATTAATCAAATTACTTAAATTTTAAATAATTACAAAATTTAAATGCGTGTGAAATAAAAAAAGTTGTGTACCTAATTTTATATTTCTTACACCTCGCACCTGCAAAACAACCCGTCTTCCCCTCGTACCGTAGTGGTTTTCTGAAGGAAAACAATAATAAAAAGCAGCAAATTAACCCGGCTTCCTTGGTCCTCTGCTTCTTCACTCTCCATCTCTGGTACGAATCCCAATCCGCACAGAAGCCGTTTTGCCGCGCAAATACGCGACATGGGTTCTTCTCTTCCTTCTGATCTCTCTCGTCCTCATCAACTTATCGACCTCCGCATCGCCGTCCGATCCTCGTTGGGCAGCCAAGAAGCGACGCCTCAGAGATAAAGTCCGTAAGGTGTGAGCAAACTCGAATTTCACCTCCAACCGCTTGGTATCCCAGATGCAGTTTCCGTTTTTCTTCAATGTTTGTAAATTTAGCTTAATGGGTATCCGTAATACTGATCAGAAATCTGGGGTTTATAGCAAGAGTTTCTGGTTTTACTGATTTGTTGGCTGATTCTGTTGGTTTTTATTCATTAGTTCTTGTAGGTTTTCCACTTTCGTTTGTATGATGTTCAAACTGGTTTCTTGGTAAAAGTTTCACCGATTCTCTTGGTGAACTTGGAAATCTGAAGGTAGCTATATATCTGTAGATAAATGAATTATGATTAATTGCAACCTGCAAAAGTAAATTAAAATGTTTCCTTACCCTATTTCAGCTTGAATACTTACCACAAGACTATAGTGGATCCGCTTTGACACTTATAGAATCGTTGTCCAGGTTTGACAGATTATGTCACATATACGCTTCTGTTATTCTGTAATCTATGCTTTAAGTTATTGCAACGTTATCCTCAACTTTGGTGTTTTCTTCATGCTATATCATATAATTTGTCCTCCCGTCATTCTGATGCAAAAAATTTCTCTCAGCCTTGTCATTATGGGTAACAACACTGAATTTGAAATTCAATGTCAATGCGAGGGTAAATCTCTTTGAGGTATCTATTGACGAGCTTGTTGAAAAGCTTGTTTTGGTTAAGTTATTCTGATATTCAAAAGCAATATTTATTGTCGTTCAGGTTCTCTTTTTCACTTGATTGCTAAATGGTACAAGGGCCAGAACGATTCGCTTTCCCAATCGCGCCGGCAGTTCCACGTCGAGCCAGGGCCCCGCGAGAAAGCTGTGAGTATCTATCTTTCTCTCTCTAAATTTATTCAGCTATACAGGATTGTTCGGATTTTGATTCGTTTGGGGCAGCCTTGTATTTCATCTTGTATCTGAGATTCAGCCATGAAACTTCGAGTTTAGCATTTTTGATAGTTGGGTAGCAAACCCATTTGAGCATACAGCTTAAAGATTTTAGCTTTAGATTTATTTGTGCAAATTTTGTTTAGTTATTTGATTTTGATGTTTGTTAGCAGCAGGGTGAATGTGTTTATTTGATTTCGCTGGTTCAATTGTGCATTTGGGCTGTACTGAGTTGTTTAAATTTGCAGCTCTTGGCACCGGACCCGTCTTTAAAACGGTTCAAGTCGCATAAGAAGGGCGTGGCTCTAGTTAAAAGACTTGGTGATGTTCTTACCATTGTTATCGTTGCCGGTACGCAATTATTTTGCTTGAGATTTAATCAGATGGTGTATTAGTTGCTATGCATAAGCTTAATTTACCTTGATACTTTTGATAAGATGTAGCCATTACGCACTCCTCTGGCTTTCCTAAATTAGGTTCTAGTTACCGTACATTTTTGAGATTTCTTAGATAAGTTTTTATGGTTTCGGGGATGTGGTAGGCAGGAAGCCGCGGTTTCATCAGGAAGAAACCGTTTGATTATAGGGTTGATTGTCTGATTATTTACCTTTTCCATGTTTATACTATATGATCAATAGATTTTATTGCATTTATTGTCTGATTGGTAAAGTCCTCAGTAAGGCTATGACAATTGACAAAAGAAGGGGTTGGGGTTACAGTTGTTTTAGCCTCTTATAGCTTAAGCTGGGAATATGCCCCTTAAGGATGAGTCGCAAGCTAGAGGGGTTCATTTTCCTGCTTCCCTCTCCGCCTTTTTTAGGGTTGCAAAGTGTGTTTGTATTCATAGATGCACATTCACAGACTTATAACGATATCCACCTTCAAGAATCTGCTGTTTCTTATATTCGTTGAGAAAAATATGATTACTTTTTCCATCTGTGAAAGTAGCATGATAAACAAGGGAAAATAGCAATCAGGATCATTAAGACCTGATTAGAGAACGATATTAGGTGTTCTGAATTGTTGAAATCTGTTTTGTATTTTAACAAATTAACTTGTGTTCTATAATCCAACCATTCCATATGTGTTTAGGGTAGTGCTATTCACACCCCCATTTTTACTTCCCACACATTCCTTGTTAATATTTGTCCGTTGATTTTCTTCAATTCATTCCGTTTGACAGCCGGAAATTGAGAAGGATGTATGGGAGGCAAAAAGGGGTGTGTTGATAGCACCACCCTGTGTTTATAAGATAGGTTGAAAACACTTGATTGAGTGCATTTCTTGATAGAAGGCAATAATGGACTTCCCTTTAATTGTGACTTTTAATATTGTGCCTTGAATTGGTCAATGTAATTGTGTATGTGTATTTATGTGGTTATACAAATTGGATATATCAAGGAATTAGAGTCTTGTTTAACTTGTTACAGTGTTCCAAGTACTCATGTGTTTATGATGTTTATCAGGCGCCTGCTATGAAATATATGTAAGAGCAGTAATGCGAGAAGAGGCTAGGCAACAGGCTAAGGAACAGGCAGGGGCTTCGGGTGCAAGCGCATAATCAAGTGTGTGTGGGGGCGGATTTCTTCTGGCAACCATGTGGAATGCGTCTATATGCTGAATAAGTAGAAAACAGATTATCCTGAGCTGCTTTCGAAGTATCTGTTTCTGATCTGTATTAGGTTTTGTTTCTTAATAAGATTGTCAATTCTATAAAAATCGTAGAACAAGATGAATGCTGTTGAACACTCTTTGTGTTTTTGCAATGAATGTTTTGCTTAATTTTAAACCATAATATCCTTCCTAAGCGGGAAATGCAGAAGAAAACGTTACAAAACCTTCACCCTTTTCGTGTTTGCAAGGGGTACTTTGCCGATACCCGTTGAAGAGGTCGAAATTTGCCAATGAGTTGGTGAAGATGATAAGTGAGTTTGCGTACGTTCAATTTACTCTATCTTGGTATCTGAATTTGTAACCAGCGTTGCAAAGAGGAAAAGATGAATGTAGGAGGATTGGGGTGTTATGCAGTGGAACCTAGGAAATTAAAAGGAATACGATTCCTTCTTCATTTTTTTTTTCTCTTTCCTCTTATTCTATTTGAACTAACTCACATTAATTTTTTATATTATTTTTTTTCATAGAGATTAGATGCAAACTTTTGTCTTGCGTTAACTTCTTTTGAATTAATTTCACATTATGTTGTAAAACGTTTTTGTAAACATTTGAACAAAAACAAATCAAATTTTGATACCAAATTTTTTCTTCACAAAAAATGTAACTATAACGGCTACATTATTGAATTATGTCATGTCTACGTTATGGCTTTATTATTCAATTATGTCATGCCTATGTCATGATGAGTTATTTCTAATCAAGATAAGATTTCAACTCCTTGCAATCATTGGATTAGATTTTCTATCTCTTTAGCCTGCATCAGTTCCGACTTCTGCTGCCCCTCTCAATGACAATTGCAACGACGAATCAATGAATGGATTTTGTTCTTCTGAGGTAATTATGGGGGGATTTTGGTAAACTTAACTAAAAGTTGATTTCTTTTTAAGGTAGATTAACTAAAAGATTTAGTTTCCCTAATTTTGAAGATTTAGGGTTATGTAATTTTGTTTTTGTGTGTTCAACTTAACTCCTTGCAATCATTGGATTAGATTTTCTCATGTTTTATTCTCTTTTATGTTGTTATTGGGTTACAGGTTGAAGAATGGGCGATGAAAGGTATGATTTTGTCCTCATATTTTGGTTTGATTTAAATTATAGAAGTTTAGGTTGAAAGCTAAATGCTTGTTTCGTTGGTTTGCAAGAATGTCTCTTACAAGTGCTTTAGGAATTTCTCATCCTTGATGAAGTTGAGGCTTGTTAGTCTTTGGTAGGGTCCAGGTAACTCACTCTTTCACCGACTTGGGATTAGGGCCTATTAATTTAAAAGTATCGTAATCTTGCCATACATAATACTTGTGCTTAATTGGATTCTTATATTTAATTTGTGCATTTGCCTTCAACGGTATAGTCAAAATGAGTTAGAGATTCTCAATACTCTATCTTGAGATTATAACGTTCAAACAATACCTTCGACATCAATCGGAAGCATTGTGGAGATGCAAGATTATAAAGTTTACCGAATCCAGGCATAACTTACGAAACTGGTTAGATGCTAAAGGAGGCTTGAATTTTTCAATGACCTAGTCTCTATATCGTATCCCCCTGTATGAGCCGTACTCGTTATTGGCAGGGTTACCACAAAGTAGTCCTTCATTTAACAATAGTTGGAGGGTATGATGTTGAAGAAAGGGATGGTAGAGTTGTTTAATATTTCGTAGGATTGGCATAACATATCTAGCAGCTCTCGGTGTGATTCAATCTTAGTGGAATTTCTGGAATGATAGGACTTGTGGTTATTTTAGCTCCAGAAGATGAAGAACCTTGAAAAAGAGTTTGGGATGACTCAAGCAGAAATGTATCTACGTAATAGAGTATAAGAATCCCCTGTTTTGATAGATAAGCAGCTATATATTTTTCTTAAGAAAGCCGGACGCTGCGAGGTAATTAAACTCAATATTAGGAGAAATTTTTATCTGATTCAACCTAAGACTTCTCATTCACAAGTGAAGAAGAATACTACTAGACTGTAGTACCGAGTCACTCACGTATTCTTAATATTACATGGATTTTATTTTGAAGCTGTGGTGGGGACGGAAGGGCCTTAAGCTAACCGATGAGCTCGACGGCTATGCGGGGCACCCACCGCACCAGGCCTTCAGCAAAGATTTAGCTCGATTAATAGGCTCTAATTTAACTTTGGGTAGATTTATGGGCCTTCACTTTTTGCTATTAGCAAAATTTGAGGCCCAGTAATTGAGAAGTGAGAACCTTTGGGGCTTATAACTAAATTCTCAGTTAGATCCAATGTATATTTGACGAGAAACAAATGTTAATTTCAAAGTAAAATGCTTATCGACCAAAGAGAAAGACAAGTAAAAAACTTGGGGCTTGTTTGGTATCCTTCTTAGATCCAATTTTTAGTTTTGCCAATTTAGACTAGTTCTCAGGGTTAACAAAGTTAAATATTTCAAAAACTCGTTAATTATTTATATCAGTTTCTAGGGAGATCGACCTTGCTATAGTCATTCTATACTACTGTAACTTGTTCTCTTGCAAGAATTTTCTATGTTTTAACCCTGGACGTTTTTAACCCTTACTTCTAAGTAAAGAGAAATACCATAAAATTGTAGTACTTAATGACAATAAATTAATCAAATTACTTAAATTTTAAATAATGTTACAAAATTTAAATGCGTGTGAAATAAAAAGAGTTGTGCACCTAATTTTATATTTCTTACACCTCGCACCTGCAAAACAACCCGTCTTCCCCTTGTACCGTAGCGGTTTTCTGAAGGAAAAAATAACAAAAAAAAAATAAAAAGCAGCAAATTAACCCTTACTTCTAAGTAAAGAGAAATACCACAAAATCGTAGTACTTAGTGACAATAAATTAATCAAATTACTTAAATTTTAAATAATGTTACAAAATTTAAATGCGTGTGAAATAAAAAGAGTTGTGTACCTAATTTTATATTTCTTACACCTCGCACCTGCAAAACAACCCGTCTTCCCCTCGTACCGTAGCGGTTTTCTGAAGGAAAACAATAATAAAAAGCAGCAAATTAACCCGGCTTCCTTGGACCTCTGCTTCACTCTCCATCTCTGATACGAATCCCAATCCGCACAGAAGCCGTTTTGCCGCGCAAATACGCGACATGGGTTCTTCTCTTCCTTCTGATCTCTCTCGTCCTCATCAACTTATCGACCTCCGCATCGCCGTCCGATCCTCGTTGGGCAGCTAAGAAGGATAAGAAGGATCCTCTCTGTTAGCTCAGGAGAGGATCCAAATCCACCAAATACAACCATGAATACGTGGGTCTGAATATGTCGACATTCGCTCCCCCGGCATTTTCTTTTGTAAGTCTGTTGATTATCCTGCTATTATCCGGCGCAGGTATCAAGTTTCTTTAGAAATTAAGAATGCTATTATCCTGCTGTTGATTATCAAATCCCTTTTGTAAGTCTGTTGTTTTGAAAACGTGGTTTCTAATTAATTTCATTAGTAAGCAACAGGACTTGAGTAATTGTTTATTGGTTGTTAATCTTGTATGTACCGACTGTTTTATTTTTCTTTCGTAATTGCAGATCTGGTTCTGTCTGCTTTAGATGTAATTAACCAATCATGGAGTCCAATGTTTGGTAATTATCATCCCATTTTAGTAAAATTCTGACTCTCTTTTTTCAATATACCGCTGAAATGTTGGTTTTGTGTCATTATACTCTTTAATGAGTCGGTGATGTTTTGCGGTTCTATTCTGTTTCGCCTTTTTTTTCCCCCTTTGTTCATTTGGTCTTCTTGGATTTCTCACATATATGGTGATGCTTTTACTTGATGCAGACCTTTTAAATGTTTTTGAAGTTTTCCTGCCACAACTGTTGCTTTATCCAAATCCTTCAGATCCACTCAACGGTGATGCAGCATCGTTGATGAAGAGGGACCGAAAACTCTATGATCAGAAGGTCAAAGGTATAACTTCATCTGCAATTAATATACCCTTCTTTCACTAAATATGCTCAAACTAATAGAAAACGATGCCTAAATTTTTGAACCTTCACCACAAACTCTCGCGAATAACGTAGGTATATTAGGAGGTGGACCTTCCAATCATGAGCATGTGTGTGAAAGAGCTCTTGATTGTAATTAGATAGTTCCATTCTTTCCCTACTTTTTCTTGGTTCCTTTGACCGTGTCTAGAGTTGGGATTCCAATATCGTCTCATAGCTGTGAGTGTGACTTCTGCAAGATGGTCAAACGGAGACCCATAGTGAATTCCAGGTGCAGTAGCATCTTAATCCCCCATTACTCGCTTATGATTTGAATTATGTTTACTAATACTGTAATAAATACCGGCGTAAGTTTAAACTAATACATCTGAGATTAAAAGAAAAAAAGCATTTGTAATAAATCGAACAATATTTTTGCCAAACATAAATTAATACTGCAACAAGCATTATCCTATTCTATAATTCTAGCGAATGCTTGTCTCATCCAAAACTACCCTTGTAATAACCTCAAGCTTGGACCCTGGCCTGCTTCTCCTTCTGCTTCCATTCGGACGGTTGGTCGATTCAGTTCTTCCTTTGACGGCAATAACAAGTGCAAATTGCTTAAAAATCCAGGATATAATCTATTGACCTCCTTGTCAAGAAGCTCATAGTTCCCAGAATTGGCACGGTGCACATAGACATTCCTCAAAAACATAACAAGCGTAACCAACAGATGACCTTCGTAAGTTATCCAATGACTTTTCCCATAATCGATAGTGGCTTTTAGGTCTTGACTCATTCGGTTGTACATTCTGGTTGAATTCCAGCCCATATACCTCGAAAAAGAACCATCTTGGAAACTCTTTTCAAAGTGATGTTGAGATATAATATTTTGTTCAAAGGCCTGATCTATCCTGAAAAAGTACTTCAGTCTGTTCTGAGAACTCATGAGGAAAGGGTGTCTAATGAGTTTTTCAACATAGCTTTCGAACCTGAGAAAACAAGAAAACATATTTAGAGGGACAGAGAGAAATACATATGTTAGGTGTACTTTTGCATAAATGTTGTCTTGTTCCAGGTGACTATGGAACGCATGGTTAATTACCCACCCTCTCGTTTTTGAATTTGATATCAAGGATTGAGAAACATTTAAAGCACATTTATTTATTCTCTCCTCCATTGATATCAAATGTAACGGCGAGTGACCATGAAATCTTGGTGCCAATAGAGAATGGGACTCATAGCCATTATATCAAAGCATTCTTACTCTATAGGTTTGTTGAAGAAATCCAGAAACAAGTTTAGGTCCCTCCATGTCTTTGGCAACCTTTCCCTTAGAAAGTCTCTGAATTGTATGAAGTCGTTCCTCATGCTTGCTTCAGACATGGTAGCATTCTGAGACTTGATGTTTATAAGTTTTAATTCCCCATCTTGAATGACATAACTGGAATGCCTGTCCAAACCAGAGTGGGTTAGTTTCTGTTTGTGGGTGGACGCAATGCTCTTCAGGATTCTCCTGCAATATTTAAACAACAAAAGAAGAAGGGTAATTACTTGATTGATGCAAATTTATTCAAAAGATATGAAGATAATTCAACAGAAGAAGAATAATTACTTGATTGATTTGAGCCAGCACATTTGTCGGGACGTCGAATCCGGTATTTCTTTCTTCAAGTCCCAATTGTTGATGTAACAATTGAATTTTTGGTAGAATAAGATCCAAACGCCCTTTTCCTCGTTGAATGCGACCAAGGAAGGACTCAAGACGCTGTCATGTTTGACTTTACAGGTGAAGAAATAGTAGTCTTTGGCTTCCGCTTTCAATCCTTCAATACACCTCGCTGTCGTTCTTCTATGGTCTTCAAATGTGATTTTGGGTACACCGTTTGTATTGTCATTCACATATGTTACCACACTTGCACTGAAGACCTTCAAATAGTAACACAGTATAATTCTATGTAAAGTTCTATACCAACACAAAAAAACTAACAAATTTATGGACACTACATTTATTAGAAAAGGTGTCATATTTGTGAATCTGGTAACGTGCTCGAAAACAATGATTCAACCATAAACATAATATATCTACCTTATCCGGATCCGTGTTTGTTCGATCGTCTTCCTTTATTTTCTCCAGTTTAGATATTTCTCTCCTCATTATGCACTTCTTCTTCTTACTACCCTTGTTATTTTCTGGCTGCCGCTTCTTTATTTCCAGTGTTGGCATGTCCTCTTCCATTTCCATCTTCCGTGACCGTGACCGTGATTGTGACCAATCGGTGGCAATGGCCAGAGCCACGCATACAAATCCCAACTGGAATGCTAGCGTCATGTGGAGAAATCGTGCCAGCAGGACGACAACGATTGCTGACACATGGGGAAGAATCGTGCGCCATTGAGGGATCCCTGAAAACAATATTTAATGGCGTTAACAATTTAATACACAAATTGATGGCAGCGGGCACAACGCCATGCGCGAGTATGAAAAGGATGGCATAGAAAAGATAAATTGGAGAAAGCAGCCATAAATCTCGATATGCGTAAAACTCAAAAGAATTAAAGAATCTTGCATGGCGCATGAAAAGGAACACATGTAAAAGACAAATTGGAGAAAGAATCTTACAGTAGAATCCTGATGAGCCACCATCCAACTCTGTTGGTCCAGCTTCTGCCTCCATGGTTACACAGTCCAAAAGCAAAGAAGCAAAGTTTGAGAGCAAATAAAACACTAGAGTACAAGCGGCCAAGCGGCCAAACCGGCCAAGCTTAATATTTATAAGGCACTCAACCCTAGTATTGCGTCATCTTGCACACCAAGTATTTTGTAGCCCTAGGCACAGAAATTAGGGTCCAAAATAAGTAAGAAATTAGGACACGAGTAAAAAACTAGGGTCTGAAATAAGGAAAAAAATTAGGACACAAGAGTAAAATGATAGGATCCGAAACAAGGAAGAAATTAGGGCAGAAGAGTAAAAAACTAGGGGAAGGGTATTAACCAATCGTGTAATTCCATCATCTATCCTTTTAATATTTTTTCAATTTATAAATTTTTTTTTTTCTGAGTACATCGATATTTTTACACTAGGGAAAAAAGGAGTTCGGCAAAGCCACACAATAGACAGCCTAATTTGGTATCAAATTCGCAATTTGCAAGATTCGAACGTAAGACCTCTCACTTCTCAACAAAAAGAAATACCACAAGATTGTAGTACTGAATGACAATTAATTAAACAAATTACTTAAATTTTAACTAATGTTACAAAATTTAAATGCGTGTGAAATAAAAAGAGTTGTGTACCTAATTTTATATTTCTTACACCTCGCACCTTGCACCTGCAAAATAAGCCGTCTTCCCCTCGTACCGTAACGGTTTTCTGAAGGAAAAAAATAATAAAAAATAATAAAAAAGCAGCAATTTAATCCTTACTTCTAAGTAAAGAGAAATATCATAAAATCGTAGTACTTAATGACAATAAATTAATCAAATTACTTAAATTTTAAATAATGTTACAAAATTTAAATGCGTGTGAAATAAAAAGAGTTGTGTACCTAATTTTATATTTCTTACACCTCGCACCTGCAAAACAACCCGTCTTCCCCTCGTACCGTAGCGGTTTTCTGAAGGAAAACAATAATAAAAAGCAGCAAATTAGCCCGGCTTCCTTGGTCCTCTGCTTCTTCACTCTCCATCTCTGGTACGAATCCCAATCCGCACAGAAGCCGTTTTGCCGCGCAAATACGCGACATGGGTTCTTCTCTTCCTTCTGATCTCTCTCGTCCTCATCAACTTATCGACCTCCGCATCGCCGTCCGATCCTCGTTGGGCAGCTAAGAAGCGACGCCTCAGAGATAAAGTCCGAAAGGTGTGAGCAAACTCGAATTTCACCTCCAACCGCTTGGTATCCCAGATGCAGTTTCCGTTTTTCTTCAATGTTTGTAAATTTAGCTTAATGGGTATCCGTAATAGTGATCAGAAATCTGGGGTTTATAGCAAGAGTTTATGGTTTTACTGATTTGTTGGCTGATTCTGTTGGTTTTTATTCATTAGTTCTTGTAGGTTTTCCACTTTCGTTTGTATGATGTTTAAACTGGTTTCTTGGTAAAAGTTTCACCGATTCTCTTGGTGAACTTGGAAATCTGAAGGTAGCTATATATCTGTAGATAAATGAATTATGATTAATTGCAACCTGCAAAAGTAAATTAAAATGTTTCCTTACCCTATTTCAGCTTGAATACTTACCACAAGACTATAGTGGATCCGCTTTGACACTTATAGAATCGTTGTCCAGGTTTGACAGATTATGTCACATATACGCTTCTGTTATTCTGTAATCTATGCTTTAAGTTATTGCAACGTTATCCTCAACTTTGGTGTTTTCTTCATGCTATATCATATAATTTGTCCTCCCGTCATTCTGATGCAAAAAATTTCTCTCAGCCTTGTCATTATGGGTAACAACACTGAATTTGAAATTCAATGTCAATGCGAGGGTAAATCTCTTTGAGGTATCTATTGACGAGCTTGTTGAAAAGCTTGTTTTGGTTAAGTTATTCAAAAGCAATATTTATTGTCGTTCAGGTTCTCTTTTTCACTTGATTGCTAAATGGTACAAGGGCCAGAACGATTCGCTTTCCCAGTCGCGCCGCCAGTTCCACGTCGAGCCAGGGCCCCGCGAGAAAGCTGTGAGTATCTATCTTTCTCTCTCTAAATTTATTCAGCTATACAGGATTGTTCGGATTTTGATTCGTTTGGGGCAGCCTTGTATTTCATCTTGTATCTGAGATTCAGCCATGAAACTTCGAGTTTAGCATTTTTGATAGTTGGGTAGCAAACCCATTTGAGCATACAACTTAAAGATTTTAGCTTTAGATTTATTTGTGCAAATTTTGTTTAGTTATTTGATTTTGATGTTTGTTAGCAGCAGGGTGAATGTGTTTATTTGATTTCGCTGGTTCAATTGTGCATTTGGGCTGTACTGAGTTGTTTAAATTTGCAGCTCTTGGCACCGGACCCGTCTTTAAAATGGTTCAAGTCGCATAAGAAGGGCGTGGCTCTAGTTAAAAGACTTGGAGATGTTCTTACCATTGTTATCGTTGCCGGTACGCAATTATTTTGCTTGAGATTTAATCAGATGGTGTATTAGTTGCTATGCATAAGCTTAATTTACCTTGATACTTTTGATAAGATGTAGCCATTACGCACTCCTCTGGCTTTCCTAAATTAGGTTCTAGTTACCGTACATTTTTGAGATTTCTTAGATAAGTTTTTATGGTTTCGGGGATGTGGTAGGCAGGAAGCCGCGGTTTCATCAGGAAGAAACCGTTTGATTATAGGGTTGATTGTCTGATTATTTACCTTTTCCATGTTTATACTATATGATCCATAGATTTTATTGCATTTATTGTCTGATTGGTAAAGTCCTCAGTAAGGCTATGACAATTGACAAAAGAAGGGGTTGGGGTTACAGTTGTTTTAGCCTCTTATAGCTTAAGCTGGGAATATGCCCCTTAAGGATGAGTCGCAAGCTAGAGGGGTTCATTTTCCTGCTTCCCTCTCCGCTTTTTTAGGGTTGCAAAGTGTGTTTGTATTCATAGATGCACATTCACAGGCTTATAACGATATCCACCTTCAAGAATCTGCTGTTTCTTATATTCGTTGAGAAAAATATGAATACTTTTTCCATCTGTGAAAGTAGCATGATAAACAAGGGAAAATAGCAATCAGGATCATTAAGACCTGATTAGAGAACGATATTAGGTGTTCTGAATTGTTGAAATCTGTTTTGTATTTTAACAAATTAACTTGTGTTCTATAATCCAACCATTCCATATGTGTTTAGGGTAGTGCTATTCACACCCCCATTTTTACTTCCCACACATTCCTTGTTAATATTTGTCCTTTGATTTTCTTCAATTCATTCCGTTTGACAGCCGGAAATTGAGAAGGATGTATGGGAGGCAAAAAGGGGTGTGTTGATAGCACCACCCTGTGTTTATAAGATAGGTTGAAAACACTTGATTGAGTGCATTTCTTGATAGAAGGCAATAATGGACTTCCTTTTAATTGTGACTTTTAATATTGTGCCTTGTATTGGTCAATGTGATTGTGTATGTGTATTTATGTGGTTATACAAATTGGATATATCAAGGAATTAGAGTCTTGTTTAACTTGTTACAGTGTTCCAAGTACTCATGTGTTTATGATGTTTATCAGGCGCCTGCTATGAAATATATGTAAGAGCAGTAATGCGAGAAGAGGCTAGGCAACAGGCTAAGGAACAGGCAGGGGCTTCGGGTGCAAGCGCATAATCAAGTGTGTGTGGGGGCGGATTTCTTCTGGCAACCATGTGGAATGCGTCTATATGCTGAATAAGTAGAAAACAGATTATCCTGAGCTGCTTTCGAAGTATCTGTTTCTGATCTCTATTACGTTTTGTTTGTTAATAAGATTGTCAATTCTATAAAAATCGTAGAACAAGATGAAGGCAGCTGAACACTTTTTGTGTTTTTGTAATGAATGCTTTGCTTAATTTTAAACCATAATATCCTTCCTAAGCTGGAAATGCAGAAGAAAACGTTACAAAACCTTCACCGTTTTCGTGTTTGCAACGGGTACTTTGCCGATACCCGTTGAAGAGGTCGAAATTGGCGATGAGTTGGTGAAGATGATAAGTGAGTTTGTACGTTCAATTTACTCTATCTTGGTATCTGAATTTGTAACAATTGAGCGAGCGTTGCAGGGTGACCAGTGATTGTATTAAATGATTGTGAAAACAGGAAAAGATGAATGTAGAAGGATTGGGGTGGTATGCAGTGGAACCTATGAAATTAAAAGCAATATGATTCTTTCTTCAATTTTTTTTTCTCCCCTCTCATTCTATTTGAACAGTTACGATTAACTCACGTTAATTTTTTTATAAAGATTAGATGCAAATCTTTGTCTTGTGTCAACTTCTTTTGAATTAATTTCACATTATGTTGTAAAACATTTTTGTAAACATTTCAACAAAAACAAATCAAATTTTGATACCAAATTTTTTCTTCACAAAAAGCGTAACTATAACATCTACATTAATGAATTATGTCATGTCTATGTTATGGCTTTATTATTCAATTATGTCATGCCTATGTCATGATGAGTTATTTCTAATCAAGATAAGATTTCAACTCCTTGCAATCATTGGATTAGATTTTCTTATTGCAATCTCTTCCGTCGATTGTTATCTGTATTTTTATTGTCTCACTGTAAAAATGAGGTGTCTATCTCTTCCACATCCATCCTATTTTCTCATCTCTCTCTGACATTTATCCTATTTTCTCATCTCTTATTTCTCTCTCTTTAGCCTGCGTCAGTTCCGACTTCTGTTGCCCCTTTCAATGAGGATTGCAACAACGAATCAATGAATGGATTTTGTTCTTCTGAGGTAATTATGGAGGGATTTTGGTAAAAATAACTAAAAGTTGATTTCTTTTTGAGGTAGATTAACTAAAAGATTTAGTTTCCCTAATTTTGAAGATCATTAGGGTTATGTAATTTTGTTTTTGTGTGTGTTCAACTTAACCTCTTTTTCGGACTAATTTGCAGATTATCAGTTTAATTTCTCATGTTTTGTTCTCTTTTATGTTGTTATTGGGTTACAGGTTGAAGAATGGGCGATGAAAGGTACGATTTTGTCCTCATATTTTGGTTTGATTTAAATTATAGAAGTTTAGGTTGAAAGCTAAATGCTTGTTTCGTTGGTTTGCAAGAATGTCTCTTACAAGTGCTTTAGGAATTTCTCATCCTTGATGAAGTTGAGGCTTGTTAGTCTTTGGTAGGGTCCAGGTAACTCACTCTTTCACCGACTTGGGATTAGGGCCTATTAATTTAAAAGTATCGTAATCTTGCCATACATAATACTTGTGCTTAATTGGATTCTTATATTTAATTTGTGTCTTTGCCTTCAACGGTATAGTCAAAATGAGTTAGAGATTCTCAATACTCTATCTTGAGATTATAACGTTCAAACAATACCTTCGACATCAGTCGGAAGCATTGTGGAGATGCAAGATTATAAAGTTTACCGAATCCAGGCATAACTTACGAAACTGGTTAGATGCTAAAGGAGGCTTGAATTTTTCAATGACCTAGTCTCTATGTCGTATCCCCCTGTATGAGCCGTACTCGTTATTGGCAGGGTTACCACAAAGTAGTCCTTCATTTAACAATAGTTAGAGGGTATGATGTTGGCGAAAGGGATGGTAGAGTTGTTTAATATTTCGTAGGATTGGCATAACATATCTAGCAGCTCTCGGTGTGATTAAATCTTAGTGGAATTTCTAGAATGATAGGACTTGTGGTCATTTTAGCTCCAGAAGATGAAGAACCTTGAAAAAGAGTTTGGGATGACTCAAGCAGAAATGTATCTACGTGATAGAGTATAAGAATCCCCTGTTTTGATAGATAAGCAGCTATATATTTTTCTTAAGAAAGCCGGACGCTGCGAGGTAATTAAACTCAATATTAGGAGAAATTTCTATCTAATTCAACCTAAGACTTCTCATTCACAAGTGAAGAAGAATACTATTAGACTGTAGTACCGAGTCACTCACGTATTCTTAATATTACATGGATTTTATTTTGAAGCTGTGGTGGGGACGGAAGGGCCTTAAGCTAACCGATGAGCTCGACGGCTATGCGGGGCACCCACCGCACCAGGCCTTCAGCAAAGATTTAGCTCGATTAATAGGCTCTAATTTAACTTTGGGTAGATTTATGGGCCTTCACTTTTTGCTATTAGCAAAATTTGAGGCCCAGTAGTTGAGAAGTGAGAACCTTTGGGGCTTATAACTAAATTCTCAGTTAGATCCAATGTATATTTGACGAGAAACAAATGTTAATTTCAAAGTAAAATGCTTATCGACCAAAGAGAAAGACAAGTAAAAAACTTGGGGCTTGTTTGGTATCCTTCTTAGATCCAATTTTTAGTTTTGCCAATTTAGACTAGTTCTCAGGGTTAACAAAGTTAAATATTTCAAAAACTCGTTAATTATTTATATCAGTTTCTAGGGAGATCGACCTTGCTATAGTCATTCTATACTACTGTAACTTGTTCTCTTGCAAGAATTTTCTATGTTTTAACTTTTAACCCTGGACGTTTTTCTAAGTCTGTCTTATTTGTCTTATTTCCCTTTTTTTGTTCTGTGGTTGCTGTCAAATCAATGTGTTACCTATTATACGGTTATACTTGCACAGAATGCAACAGGAATCTATATATCTATTTATACCATTGTTATTGTTGCCGGTACGCAATTATTTTGCTTGAGATTTAATCAGATGGTGTATGAGTTGCTATGCACAAGTTTAATTTACCGTGATACTTTTGATAAGATGTAGCCATTACGCTCGCCTCTGGCTTTCCTAAATTAGGTTCTAGCTACCCTACATTTTGAGAATTCTAAGATAATCTTGTTATGGTTTCGGGGATGTGGTAGACAGGAAGCCACAGTTTCATCAGGAAGAAGCCTCCCTTGGTTTAGTGTTTGATTATTTTCCTTTTCTTGTTTATACTATATGACCAATTGATTTGATTGCATTTATTGTCTGATTAGCAAAGTCCTCAGTAAGGCTATGACGAAAGAAGGGGTGGGGGTTACAGTTGTTTTAGCCTCTTACGTTTTAAGCTTGGAATATGCCTCTCAAGGATGAGATGCAAAGCAAGATGCGTTCATTATCCTGCTTCCCTCTCTGCCTTTTTAGGGTTGCAAAGTGTGTTTGTATTCATAGACTTATAACGACATCCACCCTCAAACTATGGGTGGAATCAGTTGTTTCTTAAATTCATTGAGAACAATATGAATACTTCTTCCATCTGGGAGAGTAGCATAACAGAAGGGAAGATAGCAATCAGGATTATTAAGACCTGATTAGGGAACGATACTAGTTTTTTCTGAACTGTGGAAATCTGTTTTATACTTTAACAAATTAACTTGTGTTCTATGATCCAACCGTTCGGTATGTGTTTATAAGATAGGTTGAAAACACTTGATTGAGTACATTCTTGATAGAGGGCAATAATCGACTTCCCCTTAGTTGTGACTTTTCTTTTAATATTGTGCCTTGTAAGTAATTTTGTACGTGTATTTACGTGGTTATACAAATTGGATATATCAAGGAATTAGGGTCTTTTTTTACTTGTTACAGTGTTCCAAGTACTAATGTGTTTATGATGTTTATTCAGGCGGCTGCTATGAAATATATGTAAGAGCAGTAATGAGAGAAGAGGCTAGGAAACAGGCTAAGGAACAGGCAGGGGCTTCGGGTGCAAGCGCATAATCAAGTGTGTGTGGGCGGGGTTTGATTTTTTTCTGACAACCGTGTGGAATGCGTCGACGATGAATAAGTAGAAAACAGATTATCCTGAGTTGCTTTCGAAATATCTGTTTCTGATCTCCATTAGGTTTCGTTTCTTAATAATATTGTGACTATTGTCTGTTCTTTAAAAATTCGTAGAACAAAATGAATGCAGTTTAACTTTCTCTGTGTTTTAGTAATGAATGTTTTGCTTAATTTTAAACCCTCGATCACAGCACACCTCATCAACTTCGCAACCACCCCATCATCTCCATTGTCGCCGCCACCAATCTCTTTCACAGCGACAACCGATATCTTTGAGCTCAAAACAGAGTACTTGGCGAAGAAGTTGACCAACCCGGCAAGCTTAAAAGAAATCCCATGATGGGCATCAAACAAAACCCCCCAATCACATAATCCAACATCAGAAACATCAAACTCTACGCATTCAAAATACATTAAGGAATGGGCGCGGCAACAGACTGCACAAGGAAATATTGGCCCTTGTACTATTTGGGAAACCCAGTAAACTACTAAATATACTTGTAATGCAGTGCATTAAAGACCTCAAAGCCCCGACGAAACCTACCAGCTCCAATTCCAGATGAATACACAATCCATGCACCAGTTGATACATCCAGCGTTGTACCGAGTAAATTCAACGAACTCCACATGCCCCATAATTTATGAAGAGCGCACAAATTAAGCTGCTGATTCATATTTGGGGTCTCCAGTCGATCGGGACAATGCTCCCATTCCCAGAATTAGAGAACCTGAATTCATACGAAAAATCATGAGATTCAGGAAAGTCAAATTTATTGATGTCCTCATCTGAATACCGCAAAAGAAAGCCCCTCACCGCACCCTGAAGTGCTCGTTTCAGTAGTCTCATTCTCCATCACTCCATCCACACGGTCCACAGAATTTAGCATTGATGCGGAGTCATATATCCTTCTTACAAAGAAAACCACCAAAGAATTTCATATAGTTTTGAAACTTGAAAGGTGAACTCTTGAAAAGATTATGCAAGATACAAGTACACGGAACTGTATATTGAGACTGATGATAATGAAGTAGAAAGAATTGTATCATGCCTGCATCGCAAAAATCACCATGTAATTAAACACTGGAGCTCAGCATGCCTCAGACGTTACCTTTAAGTTAATCCATGCATATGGCAATCCAGTGGGTGTGTTAAATGCAGTTAGGAAGCATTTCCCTAAGTCCTCGGCCAAGGTAAGCATCTGATTCTTGTAAACTCCTTGACCCAGCCTGTTTGTAGAATCAGTCGCAAGTAAATGAGCTGAAACAAACCCTCCAAGTACTCTTATGTTGCACTACAAATACCAATCAAGTGAAAAAGAGAAACTGAACGACAATAAATATTGCTTTTGAATATCAGAATAACTTCACCAAAACAAGATTTTCGACAAGCTCCTCAATAGATACCTCAAAGAGATTTACCCTCGCATTGACATTGAATTTCAAATTCTTGAGGAAAGCCAAACAATTGCACTTTCAAATTCAGCGTTGTTACCCATAATGACAAGGCTGAGAGAAATTTTTTGCATCAGAATGACGGGAGGACAAATTACATGATACAGCATAAAGAAAACACCAAAGTTGCTTAGATTACAGAATAACAGAAGCGTACATGTGACATAATCTGTCAAACCTGGACAACGATTCGATAAGTGTCAAAGCGGATCCACTATAGTCTTGGGGTAAGTATTCAAGCTGAAATAGGGTAAGGAAACATTTTAATTTACTTTTGCAAGTTGCAATTAATCATAATTCATTTATCTACAGATACATAGCCACCTTCAGATTTCCAAGTTGACCAAGAGGGTCGGTGAAACTTTTACCAAGAAACCAGTTTGAACATCATACAAACGAAAGTGCAAAACCTACAAGAAATAATGAATAAAAACTAACAGAATCAGCCAAAACAAACTCAAATCAGTAAAACCAGAACCTCTTGCTTAAAACCCCAGATTTCTGATCAATATTACGGTTACCCATTAAGCTAAATTTACAAACATCGAAGAAAAACGGAAACTGGTGAAATTCGAGTTTGCTTACACCCTACGGACTTGGACTTTATCTCTGAGGCGTCGCTTCTTAGCTGCCCAACGAGGATCGGACGGCGATGCGGAGGTCGATAAGTTGATGAGGATGAGAGAGATCAGAATAAATAAAGAGAAGAATCCATGTCGCGCATTTGCGCGGCAAAACGGTTTCTGTGCGGATTGGGATTCGTATCGGAGATGGAGATTGAAGAAGCAGAGGACCGAAGAAGCCGGGTTAATTTGCTGCTTTTTATTTTTTTTTTAATTATTTTTTCCTTCAGAAAACTGCTACGGTACGACGGGAAGACGGCTTGTTTTGCAGGTGCGAGATGCGACGTGCGAGGTGTAAGAAATATAAAATTAGGTACACAACTCTTTTTATTTCACACGCATTTAAATTTTCTAACATTATTTAAAATTTAAGTAATTTGATTAATCTATTGTTACTAAATATTACGATTTTGTGATATTCTTTTTTATTTAAAAGTGAGAGGTTTAAGTTCGAATCTTGTAGATGGCAAATTCGATACCAAATTAGGTTGTCCATTGTATGGCTTAATCAAACTTCTCTTTCCACTAATGTAAAAATATCGATGTACTAAAAAAAATATTTTATAAATTGAAAAAATATTAAAAGGAATAAATGATGGAATTACATGATTGGCTAATACAGTTTCATTCTCTGTAGTTTTATTAGAACAAAGCTTGGCTGCTAAAAAATAAAGCAGCAGCTCATGTTCTCATCCAATAACAACATGATAAGAATTCAAGTTGTTTGTTCAAGCTTTATTTAAAAAAAAAAAATTGGACGCTTGTCAAATTGTTATTGGGTGCTTTTTTGTTTAAGCAGCCAAGCTATGTTGTTTTTAGTGATAGGAGTTTTTACTTTATTTTGATAATAATAAGGATGCACTAATAAAAAGGGATAAAATGCGAATGTGATCAAAATTGAGTTTGGACTCTATTGGGACCCCAAATTCTTGAGTTGCATTTTAACTTTTATTTAGGGGTGTATTCAATTGGGAATTTAAGAGATTTTGATGGATTTTTATGAAGTCTAATTGATTTGTAGAGATTTCATGTAAATTTTTTATTCAATTCCCTCAAAATCTCTTGGGGAGGGGTGAGATATGTGAATGCTTAAAATACACTACAAAATCTCTTTAATTCCCTCTAATTCCTCAACTTTTTCAAATTCTTTAAAATCAAATTCTAATTGAATACACTTGGAATGTTATAAATTTCTTTAAAATTCTAATTGAATACACCCGGATTTCTAAGAAGTTTAATAAATTTTCTTAAAATCCTGATTGAATACATATTGAATTTCAGATAATCACTTAAATTCCTGATTGAATACCCCTAGATTCATTAAAATAATTAAAATCCCTTAAAATCCCAATTGAATACACCCCCTAGATTAATACTAACTTGTATTTACACATTTGAGGAAGGAATGAAATCAAGTTTTATGCTGCAAATTCTTGAGTTGCATTTTAACTTTTATTTCGATTAATACTAACTTATTTCGGACACAAGTTATTTACTCTTTAGTTTCTTCCTTGTTTCGGATCCTATCTTTTTACTCTTGTGCCTTAATTTCTTCCTTATTTCGGACCCTAGTTTTTTACTCTCCTGCCCTAATTTCTTCCTTATTTCGGACCCTAATTTCTGTTACCTGGTCAAAGCCTTATTTCGGACCCTAGTTTTTTACTCTCCTGCCCTAATTTCTTCCTTATTTCGGACCCTAATTTCTGTTACCTGGTCAAAGCCTTGGCGACAAAGTATCTTAGGCCTACAAGAAGACGCAACACTAGGGTTGAGACTATCTTGTCCCTAATAAATATTGAGCTTGGCCGCTTGAATTGCTTGGCTTTAGGTTTTATTTGCTCTAAAATTTTGGTTTTGAATTGAAGGGAGCAAAATAATAAATTGTATACCACTCAAGGGATTAGAGTGAGAGAATATTGTAAAGTGTGCGAGAGAAAAGAAAAGAGATAGTGTATTTCTTCTTCTTGTTATTTCAGATTTTTCTTCAAGTCGTAGTTCTAGAGATTTGGCAAGATTATTGGTTGTACTTGTTATTGATATAGTGAAAGATTGTTGTTGATGTCCCGTGGACGTAGGCACATATTGCCGAACCACGTAAATTCTTGGTGTTATTTATCTTGGTTATTTATTTTTGATTTTCGGAGTTTGTTCTATTTTTCCCGTTCTTAAACGCGATATTCTCAACAATTTGGACCCCAAGTTGTGTTTTAACCTTTATTTAGATTAATACTAACTTGTATTTAGACATTTGAGGAATGAATGAAATCAAGTTTTATGCTGCAAATTCTTGAGTTGCATTTTTACTTTATTAGATTAATACTAACTTATTTCAGAACCTAGTTTTTTACTCTTCTGCCCTAGTTTCTTCCTTGTTTTGGACCCTAGCTTTTTACCCTTTTCCTCTAATTTCTTCCTTATTTCGGACCTTAATGTTTTTACTCTTCTGCCCTATTTTCTTCCTTATTTCGGACCTAGTTGCCCCTTTTCCTCTAATTTCTTCCTTATATCGGACCTTAATGTTTTTACTCTTCTGCCCTATTTTCTTCCTTATTTCGGACCTAGTTGCTGTTACTTGGGCAAAGACCTAGTTGCTGTTACCCTTTTCCTCTAATTTCTTCCTTATTTCGGACCTTAATGTTTTTACTCTTCTGCCCTATTTTCTTCCTTATTTCGGACCTAGTTGCTGTTACTTGGTCAAAACCCTGGCTACAAAGTATCTTGGCATGCAAGAAAGACTTATAAATATTGAGCTTGGCCGCTTGGCCTGGTTGTGCTTTAGGTTTTGTCTGCTCAAAACTTTTGGTTTTCGACTCTCTTTCGGTATTCGACTCTCTGCAATCCATGGAGGCCGAAGTTGTTGGTCGGTCAGAGTCGGAGGCTGGCTCAATGGGTAAGATTATTTCGATTTAAGTTTTATTGAACTCAAATTTAAGCCTGCTCCAATTTGTCTCTTCTATTAAGTTTCTTTCTTTTCAATTCCTACTGAACTCAAAACTTAAGGCTTGCCCCAATTTGTCTCTTCCATGTGAGTTTCAGGGTTTATTCAAATATTTTGGCGAGGGCTAATGCAGAAAGCAACCATCTATGCGCCAATATTGGGATTAACACTTGCTTTAGTGGAATTCAGTAATGTATCCGATTACGTAAATCCAGCGTTCCTTTTCATACTCGTGCATGGCATTGTGCTCACTGCCGTCAATTGGTGGCGGCGGCTGGATAATTTGGAGAAGACAAATAGGAGTCCGAAAGGGGTACTGGTGGGGGAGGGGGAGGGGGAGGGGGGAGGAGGGGGAGGATGTGGAGGAAGAGGTGCTGGCGGAGCAACATGCTATTTTGGATGCAGCGATAGAGAGTCACAAAGAAAAAGCCGAGCATGAGGTATAACACAATTGCTGATAATACAATGATAGTGAGCACATGTATTAAATATGGTGTTAGTTTTGTATGTCTAAATTAACATTAATATTACTTTATTCATATGTTTCAATAAGCTGTAAGTGTATGATATGACTAGTTTATCTTTTTTTTTTGCAGGACATCGGTGTAAGTGTGATCGGGTATGTTCTTAGTTATAGGACAGGTAAAGCTACAATCACCTTTGATGACCGCAAAGCAACAAAGGCAAGCTTCTTCCAATACGAACTAGAATCCAATGAAGCTGAGAACGCCAAACATTACTACTACTACACTTCCAAAGCATGTCATAGCAGCATCCTAAGACCCCGCTTGATCACACGCAATGCGGAAGAAAAACATGTTTTTTTATTCTATGAAGAATTCAGCTACAAATTCAAGGACTGGAATATACAGGAGCACATGGCATCAGAAGAAGAACGAATGTCCTGGTGGAAAAAATCCATCAAGTAAGTCTCTTTTTTTTTCCTTCTATCTCATAATTCAATTTTATCATAACTATAACTATGTGTGTGCGTGTGTGTATATATATGATTTGTATAGGAGAATCTTAAAGGCAATCCTCTATATCCACAAGAAGGGGCTTGTTCACAAGGGCTTGTCATACCAATCCAGTTATGTAATTCAAGACGGTGAACTAAGACTCGTTAACATCCGAGGTAGTCTGGAGAAGTTGGAACCTCTACAGTCTCAAAAGATGAAGAGGAGTGACCTCACAGACTTTATGACCTTCCTCAGAGAAAATGTGCCAGCCAATTGGACGAACAGAAACTTGTTCTTGGATTATATTGCCAACGACACTAGGTAAGGATACCCAATTTATAAATGAGTTTGTGTGTCTACGTAGCATTATTAATTTTTATTCTCAATTATATAATTTGAACTTGTTTATTTTCTTTTCCTTTAGCTCGTCCGAACGCGTTGCCAAAAAACTCATTAGACATCCATTAATGATGGATACCCCTCATGAGAGAATTAGGTACTTTAGCGATGTATTCCAGGCCATAGAAAGCAACACTTGCGTCAATCCTACAGCCTTCAAAAAGACATTGGACCAAGATCCTCGTTTTCAACCATACAAGAACTGGACGACAACATACAAGGGGCATATTCTGTACGCTAATTTTTCTCGTAAGAAGGGGAAAGCATATTCAGGTCAAAACCTGTTTAGCCTCATTGCATTTTTAAGGCATGTCTACATACATTGTGTCACAAATAGTGCAGATTTTGAAAAGATGGATGAAGAGATCGCTCAACTGTATCCTGGGCTTTCAAGCCATGTGCACGAGATCTTCGTGATGAAGGACAAATTCTCTTAAGGATTTTTTTTTTTTTGGTGTTCTTTTATTTGTTCCTTGCATAAATAAATTCTTGAACAATTGTTTTTAGTATTTATTGCAAATACTTTTTTTTTCTTTTAATCTCAGTATTGATTTAAACTTACGCCAGTATTTATCACAGTATTAGTAAACATAATTCAAATCATAAGCGAGTAATGGGGGATTAAGATGCTACTGCACCTGCAATTCACCATGGGTCTGCATGTCCAGCAATATCATTGTCGCTTGAGTTTGCTTTCCTCATCACTAATGTTCTCATCGCTCTCCTCATCTGGTGTTGTATTGGTAATGTGTTCCTTCTTTGCATGTCGCTCACAGTACTCTGGTGTCCACAAATCACAATCAAAAAATGTAAACAGAATACTTTACATCACAAAAAAATCATACGATAATAAAGAAGAATTTCCCGCTAGCCTATGCTTTGTGAGCAACCAAGGAAGAATAGCTTCTAACTTCTAAAAATACTCCCTGTATAACATCTTCGAAGCTGAAGGGACTAGCTATGAAAATTCAGTGGAACCTTGTAAGCAAGTATTAGGCCAAAAGCATTGAATAAGGCACCGGAGATAGACTAGTAATTAGTGTCATGGTCTGTGGACCATCTTGCAGAAGTCACACTCACAGCTATGAGACGATATTGGAATCCCAACTCTAGACACGGTCAAAGGAACCAAGAAAAAGTAGGGAAAGAATGGAACTATCTAATTACAATCAACAGCTCTTTCACACATAAGCTCATGATTGGAAGGTCCACCTCCTAATATACCTATGTTATTCGCGAGAGTTTGTGGTGAAGGTTCAAAAATTTAGGCATCGTTTTCTATTAGTTTGAGCATATTTAGTGAAAGAAGGGTATATTAATTGCAGATGAAGTTATACCTTTGACCTTCTGATCATAGAGTTTTCGGTCCCTCTTCATCAACGATGCTGCATCACCGTTGAGTGGATCTGAAGGATTTGGATAAAGCAACAGTTGTGGCAGGAAAACTTCAAAAACATTTAACAGGTCTGCATCAAGTAAAAGCATCACCATATATGTGAGAAATCCAAGAAGACCAAATGAACAAAGGGGGGAAAAAAAAAAAAAAGGCGAAACAGAATAGAACCGCAAAACATCACCGACTCATTAAAGAGTATAATGACACAAAACCAACATTTCAGCGGTATATTGAAAAAAGAGAGTCAGAATTTTACTAAAATGGGATGATAATTACCAAACATTGGACTCCATGATTGGTTAATTACATCTAAAGCAGACAGAACCAGATCTGCAATTACGAAAGAAAAATAAAACAGTCGGTACATACAAGATTAACAACCAATAAACAATTACTCAAGTCCTGTTGCTTACTAATGAAATTAATTAGAAACCACGTTTTCAAAACAACAGACTTACAAAAGGGATTTGATAATCAACAGCAGGATAATAGCATTCTTAATTTCTAAATAAACTTGATACTTGCGCCTTGTTTGACCCAAATTTGCCGGCGTGCCACTAGAAGCAGGGGCGTCAGACATTACTTTCTTTTGGACCATGGAATTCCACATTGAATTTATTTAGCCCATCGTTTATTGTCTCCACGTTATAGTCACTCAGCAGCCTAAAGTCATTGAGAAAAGAAGGGAAAACAAAAGCATTAGAAATAGTGTTCCAAAGCTTTATATCATACCAGAGATGAAGTTAGCAACCTGATTTTACAGCTACCAATAATCAGTGAGACAATCTTGAAAGATCACAATCATGGGAAATCTTAACTCCACAACAGGAATTAAACTTTAAAATTGGGTCATCACAATATGATCAAACAAATGCAATTCCACCGTTTTCTGCACAGAATAATAAAGATAAAAACTTTGAGCAATAATGGGATTCCAAAAGTTGTTCTTTCCAAATTATTAGACATACCCAGTGAGGCATTATAGCATTTCACCAAAAACTTTCGTTGAAAAATTGAAAGATTTTGTGAATTAATGTCATAAGTGCTTGTTAAGTCTAAGAATCAAAAGCAAGCTGAAATCTTTTGAAGATCTAAGACCTACCCAGAAAACCATATACAAATGAAAATTAAAGATAAAATATGGCTATATATATATATATAGAGAGAGAGAGAGAGAGAATGGGAACTGGGTATCTTACAAGATCTACTCAATTGAAGATTTTCCCGATATCCAAACAGAAAATTGAGAAAATTTGGAAATGGAGAAGAAAATGCCGGGGGAGCGAATGTCGACATATTCAGACCCACGTATTCATGGTTGTATTTGGTCGATAATTACCATGTAAAACCCTTTTTTTTATTCAGTGGTGATAAACTCACCCACATGTCTTAATCCTACACCCACTTTTTAATGAAATATTTAGTGACAAATTTACCCTAATGTAAAATGACCTTTTGCTTTCTTCATTTCTGTTCATTTAGTTCCTCGAGTTTTTTTTTATCATTCGTCGATTTCATTTCAATCAGTAGCATCAAACTACTACGTTACCAACATAAAGTTAAACATCGAAATCAACAAACCCTAATTGAAAAAAACCCAATCAGAACCACGATTTAAAGGTCTCACTCTAATCTTCCGCGGAGGCTGATTCGTTCTTGGTGCTGTGCTTCCTGGCATACCTCTGGTTCCTCAGAAACTTGGGGTCATCCCTTTGGTGGAAGTGTGGCGGTGCCTATTAGGCTTCTTGATGCATGCCAATCTTCTGGGCCTTGCGGGACTGGTTGTGGGCAGTGTGATTCTTCGACTTGGCCATCTCGGAAAGAGAATGATGGATTTAGCAGCCCCTTGTGGAGGGTTTAGGCTGAGAATTTTTTGGGGTTTTCAAAGCGGTCAAGAATGGGGATCGCGATGGGGTGGCCGTGCTGGTGAGCTGCGTTTGGGAGAGAGGGGAGCGGCAAGAGAGTGGAGAAATATGTGATATTCTGAGGGTTTGTTATTTTTCTATAAATGTCTTTATTTACAGTAACAAGCGAGGAAAAGAATTTTCATCCTTCAAGGAAATATAATCTTAATAAGATTAGAATAACCAGTAAGCAAATCTATTTAGGATTCGCACAATCAATTTTAATATAATACCGAAACGCACATTTTTTCTTCTCGTTGTATCCTTGATTTTTTATCATTGAATTAAACAAGATATATACAACTATAGAAAACGAAAAATAAAGTGTGCATATCATTTCACTAATTTATTTCCCGTTAAAAATTATTGATGATTGGTTTTCTTTTCATCCTCAATTATGGTAAATTTTCGTGGTCATTTACATTTCCTACCTTGTTCGTTAAACTACAACATTTTATTTTTATTTTATGTTTTTCCTTAAATGTTAATTTCTTTTTAGAGAAAATTACAATCCCTACAATTTTTCTATATTATTTAAATTAATGATTTGATTAAAATGCTTTTACTAATAGGCACCTCTGTGAAGACCCGTCTCTAATTTTATATTTTTACAAATTTTAAAAGCATGATTTTACGAAAATGGTCTTAGAGACGAGGGTATTGACTTTCGTGAACCAACGTTTAGTGAGACGTACGAAATATTTCTATAGTGTATCCTTGAAGTTCTCGATAAAATTTTTGTATATGTATTACTATTTTATATCTTTGCATGAAAAGATATTATTATTATTATTTTACAGATCTTTCCGAATTAGATTTGTAAGTTCATAAAATAAAATGTTGTCCGTCACTTGGTTTTGGCAATTGGCAGAGATCCGACCATTGGATCGCAATGAAACATTAGGACGTTGTTCTAGGAACATAATGTGGATATTTGGAAGTAACGGTTCGGAAATCCATGATGCGGATCTTCTGGATTGAATTACGTAGGGATGTGTTTTATGTAAATTATGTATTCTATCGGTAAGAACTATGAGACATGATTTAAAGTTGATTTATGCATATTACCTACATATAATTACTGTGAATGTTTAGAAGTACATGCGTGAACTACGAATGGCTTGATCCCTATTTATGGTACGTAGGCAATCTAGCGAGACGTTAGATGCAACCATACAAGAAGTGAGATTAAATAATTGAGATAATAGCCTTGTTTGGGGAATTGAACAATGTGAGGGACATTGGTGTAAAATGTGAGATTTAACATTATGTGTTGGTGGTTAAATGTTGGTTATAAATCAATGTGTGAAGAATCAAGAAATTAAAGTAAGGAAACGTAAGTAATGATAGTTAATTAAACTAGTGTCTAGTTGGGCTTATCACCGATGATTATCCCCAAAAATAAATAATTCGGGAGGAGGGCGTTACAGCGTATGCATTTTATGCCATATATATGTATATAATTGAAAATGATATGACATGGTTGAGTATTAGATTGCATCATGGTATATCTATACGTATATTACCTGCATATAATTATTGTGAACCTCAGCTTCTCTATTAAGTTAAAATACATGTCATTGTTGTACTTTGTTTAATTTAAGTTAATTTTTTAATGTATCCTTATTTAATGGAGATGTTTGTGACACCCCGTCCCGAAACTATCGAAACGCTTAGGTGAAATGACCATTTTACCCCTAGTTTGTTTTATTATGTTTTTGGTTGTTTTATGTGGTGTTGGCCAAAGTTGGACCACACACACACATCCACACTTACTTTCTCTCCCTCTCCCTCTGTTCTCTCTCTCTCCCCCGAGTCCTTATTCTTCTTCTTCCTCTTCCTTAAACTGGTACGGACACACACACTGTTGGAAGTATGCCCACAAAGCCACTCATTTGATGTAATAGCTTTTTGGAATACTTATTGTGTTAAACTTTTATATGTTTAATAGAAGGGCAAAGCTTATTGTTAATCACTATTTATAGTATCTTGTGTTTAAGCAATAAGGGAATCCAAGGAATGTATTTGATCTAAGAGACAAGTGATTTAAGTTAGTTAAATTAACGAGACCTTTCTCTTATGTTCATTCCTAAAACGTTCCTAGCCATAGGATTGCCAATTGGGCATTGACAATCCGCTAAGGTTAGTATGTGTTATGTCGACTCAAGCGTGAGTATGAACTAGTCTCAAGTCATTTGGTGTTGGACACTAAGGCAAACACATAGGTGCTCGAAAGAGTAATCGAGTACACTGAACTACGATCAAACAAGAGTTCGAACATACATGTCATGTGAGAACTCAATAGTTGCAATATGCAAAGTAGTCCTTTGACCTGAGGCATCATTGATGTCTAATGGTTAGGTCCTTGATCTTTGATTATGTCAACGGCATTCCATTGGAGTGTCCACGGCATTGTTGGGGTCAAGCTATCTAGTCATGTAGGCATATGAATGTACAACAAGGGATCTCTAACCTTTCATGATGGAAGGAGAATACTCTAAGATATGATTCGAGAGTCTTTGGCCAAAGCATATGAATATGACTAAGGAAGATGTTCCAAATCTTATTCGATTGAATCATATAGAGAAGTATCACATTGGATAGTAGACATGAAACAAACTATCACTTAAACAATGTGATTAAGAGTATTGTATTAGAGAAGGACCGTATTGCATTGTAGTTGTAACTGGATAGGTTCTCCAACCACTTCTACTTAGCTTGGGTAACCATGACATGCTGCTAGGCGTCACCCATGGTTTGTGGAAGCCCTAAAGATTAGCAAACACTAATTTAAGGGAGAATTGAAATGTGGTTTCAATTCACAATCGATAGTTAAGAGTAACATCGCCCACTGCCTCGCTAATTGGAACCTAATGGATCGTACACCGAGTAAAGATATAAGTGAAGAAATTATATGAAATGGATAAGCAATTAAATGGTTTAATTGAAGAATGGTGAAGATTAATTAAATAGTTAATTAATTATACGAAACGTTCGTATTGGGCGTTTAAGTTAGTTTTGGGCTTCGGGGCACAAAAACGTTTTGGCCCACAAGGCCCATTATGTTTAAGATTGTATGACAACTAAAACAAAATGGGCAATTAAGCCCAAAAACACTAAATGGCCGGCCATAACCTTAAGGGTAGTGAACTTGGCTTAATTGCAAGTTTGCCACTCCATTGTGAGGTGGTATAAATACATCTTTATAGCCATTTCACCTTAAGGGGGTTTCTAATTGAATTTGGGTGAAACCTATTCTCTCATTTTCACCTTAGGGGAGGAACATCTAGCAATCTTTCTTACCTAAGTCATCCATTTCATCTTCAAACAATATCTTTGGTGTGGAGACTTAGAGACACCAAACTTTTGGTGTTTTGGAGAACAAATCCTCAAATCCTCAAAGAAGAAAAGGAGCACTAAAAGGGAGGAAATCACAAGGAAGATTCAAGGAGCAAGGAGGTGACTTGAAGGCCCTCCACTTGGGTGAATCCCTTGTGTAATCAAGGATGAGCTTCAAGGGTAAAGAATCTCTAAATTCTTATTCTCTTTAATTTTGTTAAAGAGTCTTATGGTTCACCATATACTAGGCTTTGAAAGTCATGGGTTTTATGAATTGTTTTTGAATGCATGCCTACTTTAAAGAGTTATTAGTTTGCATATGTATTCAAATGTTCTTACATGTTCTTAGCTAGGACAAAATTTTTCCTTCAAGTGGTATCAAGAGCCTAGGCCTAGTTTATGGTGGATCCTTTTGGGTTTTGTGATTTTTCATATTTTGTGATTTAAGTGTTGTAAATGTTACAAGCTTTGTTCTTGCTTTGAATATAAATTTTACTTGAAAATTTAGCATCTCAAATGTTGTAGATGTATTTCATTAAAGCATGAATAATGGAACTAAAAGTTGGTGCCAAGTGTTTTGGGAATTTCGGCCAAATCCAAAGGGTGATTTTTTGGGTTCATGTTAGGCTTGTTAAAATGGTTTTAAAGTGCTTTTTGGAACCCCTAAGTACCCTAGGATAATAACCCTCTTTTGAGTTGTGAAAATTTGAGTTTTGATGAAAGAAAACATCCATGGAGCTATTATGAGTTTTCATGTATGTTCTTCATATTTCTTGAAGTTCTTATCAAGAACAAAAAGTTTTGAAGTTTTGATTCAAAAGTTTTATGTTTTACATAAAGTTTTGATTATTAGTTGATGGGTGATGATTATGTCAAAGATATATTTTTGAATATTAGTTAATGGATGATGTTTGTTGGTAAGAAATGATTAAATGGTTTTAATTATATCAAAGGTATATTTTCTTTTCAAACCATCCCCACTATCTTTAATCTCACCCACCAAAATCCACTTACAAAATTTTATTGTATCAAAAACTCAATATATCTATGAATGGCCGGCCACCCCTCTAGTGGGGTGCTTTTGTGCAATTAAATAAAGTTTTGATACTTTTGTGTATTTGTATTATGGCCCAAAAGTTTGTGTTTTTGCAAAATGGCCCAAATAGAATGAGAACAAAAATTGTTTTGTCTCTTTAATGAGAATTGGATTTTCATTATATTTAGTTCCATTTAAATCAATTCTATGGATCCAAAAACCAATTGTTTAAAGTTGCTTTC